CTCCTGACTCATGTGCTACATCCATAGGTATGGGGATACCTAAGGACAGTCCTAGAAATTGCACAGAGGGGACATAAAATCAACCTTATACTTGGTACAACTCTTTTTAAAGTGAAGTTCCACCCAAAAGTAGAAGCTTTGTTTGTTTTGCCTCCCCCCCACTGCCATATTTAGCACTTTTTGGGGGGGGAGCAGATACCTGGTTTTGACAGGTACCCTTTCCCACTTCTGTCTCAGTTCGCTGCAAAGTGAGCCGGAAGTTTGGTCCCTTCCTTCCTCCCGCAGTCTCCTTGGAACCTTCACAGATCCCAGAAGACTGCTGGACCAGTCAGGATATGCAGCGTGACTCGCGCCTGCGCAGTGGGCACCCAGCTGTGAAGCCACAAGTTGTCACAGCCTGGTGCCCACAGCCGGAAAGAGAAGAAGGAGAGAAGGGACGGCTTGGATGAGCACATCGCTGGACCCTGGGACAGGTGTGTGTGTTTATTAAAAGTCAGCAGCTGCAGTTCTTGTAGCTGCTGACTTTTAATAAAACACAAAAACGTCTGGAACTCCGCTTTAAGTAAGTACAAGTTATTTCCTTTTTATCATGAACCAAATTTTGAGAAATGCCTATTCACTTCAGTCAATCTGTGCTATAAGTTGAAATACCTGTCTGCATGATTTCGTAAAAATCTGGCTAACTCTAGGTTCACACCTAAGCGTTTTCCACAGCGCTTTGCGTTTTATAGAAACACAGTACAGTGCATTTAACATGATCTACTATGTGACACATTTACATCTCCGTGTCTTCACCTAGTGAGTTTTTTTAAAAGGGTCAGGGACTTTTATGTGTTTTTGGTTCTATAGAATTCAATGGGATCGCTGCAGAAAACCATGTAGTGTGGTTTTGATGTGTTTTTTTATGTGTTTTGCGCTTTAAATCTGCCTAGCAACAAGAAAAATGAAAAACAAAAAAAATTAAAAAATGCAAAACACATCAAAAACACGGCAAAAAATGCAATCAATGCAGAAATGGCTCAAACGCAACCTGCATAGGTGTGAACCTAGCCTAAAGGTGGGAATACACAAATAGAAAATCGACCAATTGGTCATCCGATGACCGAGAGGCATTCGTTCGTTGGTGGAAATCGTGGCCGACATTAACCAATCTACAAAAATAATTCATTGGACAATACGTAGTGTTGACGTCTTCCGTACAAGTGGAAGTGATGCGGTGTGCATGTGACCTTGTAGCCACGCCCTTCCGGCCAGAACGAGTGATATACACAACAATTACCAGCAATGAGTATAATATCGTTTATTACATGACCTATATACATAAATAGTGATACATAAAATATAATCTGCAGAATTCTGCTTTCATTATCTCATTGGGCCAATCTACTTTTAACATTTGGATTTTTCGTTCGTGTTTATGAAGATGATTCCTTGGACATCCGGGTCATCTTCTCTTTCCGCTCATGCGTGATAGCGCTTGATAGATTTTTTTTTTGTACGACCATCATACCAGGGGCGGACTGACAACTCATGGGGCCCCCGGCAATAGGGGATCATGGGGCCCCTGTGTCCTTGCCCAAACTCAAAAAAAGCCCTATGAACAAGGTACCAGGGGCATCTCATGGGGCCCCCTACTGACCCTGGGCCCCTGCGTCATACCACCACGCATAGAAAATCGGTCATTAGTACTGAAAACGACAACATTTTTCACTGTTATTCAACCGGATTTTTTTGTTCACAATATTGTTATCAGTTAAAACATCCTGCTCATCAATAAAGAGAAAATTGTTCAATCAGTGGTTCCGCAAAATTTTTCGGACAATTTTCTTATCGTGTGTACGGGGCATTAGGCTAGCCATACACTTTACAATTTTCTTATAATTTTCTGCCCAATTTCCTTTAGATTTACCTTCAACTATGTAGTCCAAGGGCCTGTCTAATTGGATACAATTAAAAGTGTGGTTTAGGTTTGATCTCATATTATATGGTTTTTGGTAAATCTAAAGCAAAATTCTCAAGAAAATTGTATATTGTATGGCCAGCATTAGAGAGAGGAGAAATATTCTGCTACCAGGACTACTGGTGCACCTGCAAATGGTTTATGCACATGGTACAAGGTAAGGTAATGAGAAGCAGAAAAAAAATCAATACTCTGTATTACCAGAAGAGGGCAGCAAATGACATCTATGTCCATGCATAGGGGACAACAAAATAGTAACATCACTGCAAAGAAGTGTTCAGAATATCTCTGGAGAGTCAGGCATAGGGGCAGACTGACCATTTGGAAACTCGGGCACTGCCAGAGGGCCCGGGGTCAGTAGGGGGCCCCATGAGATGGCCCTGGTACATTTTTCATAGGCTTTTTGAGTTTGGGCAAGGGGGGGGGGGGGGTGAGATAGGGGTTTGTGGGGGGGGCGGGGGGGTTGAGGGGGGGGGGGCGGGCGGGGCCGGTGGGGTGGGAGGGGGGGGGGGCGGGTAGTGGGGGGGGGGGTACACAGGGGCCCCATGATCCCTTATTGCCCGGGGGCCCCATGAGTTGTCAGTCCGCCCCTGGGTGGTGGTGGCGGCGATGTGCTAGAAAATGAAACTCGGGGGGAGGATTAAGGGAGAAAGTATTTGTGCTGTGAATGGATTTTGGAGGAGGGATTTGAGGGAGTAGGGTGGGAAATAATAAAAATAAAATGGATGTGCGCTAGGAGGGGTGAAGTAGAACTGCAGATGAAATTTTTAGTGATTTTTTTTTTAATTTATTTTGGGGGGGGGGGGGGAATGCAAGCAGCAGGTCTTGCCTAGGACGCAGAGTAGTCTAGCACCAACCCTAGCTATCATGTACAGCCCCAACTTTAGTATAGGAATCCCAGTCTATTCCCACTGACCAGAGTCTTCTCCCCTTAGAGTCTGATGAACAGCAAACTGGCTCTTTGTTTAGAATGTTTGGAGCCCCTGGTATGTGGTCAGCCTTGAAGAAGTCTTTTTCTGGCCAACTACAGTGTTCTTCAATGGAATACTACTCACCTGAACCTTGTATATGGGTTTGCATCTTTTATCGAGGTTCACCTCCAGCTTGCCCTCATTTAAGTTTGCTTTGAGACTGAACCCGATGTGATTTGACCTCTTGGTCAGTAGACAGTCAGTGATGCAACTTGGTGAAACAACAATTTGACATTCTTTATTATCAAAATACAAAGTTACATAATATTTTTTTCTTCTCTCTTTTAAACATACATTACTGCACATGACTGGTAATCAACAACAATACACTGCAGACAATGAACACTGGAAATTCATTGGGTCACTTGCAACAACTGCAGGTATCACATCCCTTTGCGCATTCACAGCCCTGGCTGCATTTAGCACAGTCTGCCGGACAGCAGGAGCAGCAACCTGAGAAAACAAAAAGTGATACAATGTATGCAAAAAGTTATTGGTGTGTAACATTGATCTGATATAACCCGTACCCAGGGGCGGACTGACCATTTGGAAACTCAGGCACTGCCCGGGGGCAGTAGGGGGCCCCATGAGATGCCCCTGGTACCTTTTTCATAGGCTTTTTTGAGTTTGGGCAAGGGCACAGGGGCCCCATGATCCCTTATTGCCCGGGGGCCCCATGATTTGTCAGTCCGCCCCTGCCCGTACCTTTAATTTCTGCAGAGATGTGCTTTGAACAATAATTAGAGACCCAACACAAATCTTAGCATATTTTATAACTGGCTCAGGGTCACAAGATTGATCCATACCTGTGATGTTAAAACTTAAGATCACAGCAAAGAAATTCTATGTGGCCTGATGGTCTGATTTGTCCTAAGTTCGTTTTTTTTGCCAAAAAAGAAGTCATAGCAACACTTATATAAAATGTGTTCTTTTCTGTGGAAGAGTGAAGAACCTCTTGTAGAACTAGATCACAAGTATGAACATTCAGATGACCAATGGCCTTTTACTTCATATACAATGAGCAACAGGCTTTGCTTGGGTTAGGCTAGTGCAACACTGCCAGTTCAATGCAACTGCTTGTTGGCAGTCAACTTTCCTGTAGCAGTGGGGTTGATTTACTGAAACTGAAGGGGGAAAAAATCTGGTGCATAGAAACCAATCAGCTTCCAGGTTTTATTGTCAAAGCTTAACTGAACAAGCAAAAGTTAGAAGCTGATTGGCTACCATGCACAGCCGTGCCAGATTTTTCACGCTCCAGTTTTAGTAAATCAACCCCCAGTGAATCCAATGTAATGGCAATTAGATAACTGTTAAGCATTTTAAATCTCAGCAGGAGATACATTTCATCATCAGATCATTATCCAAGCCAGCTTTTCCCCAGTGTCCCACCAGCAGTATCAAAACTGCATTCTTGAGGCACTATTGACTCCAACCATGTATGTATGAGCGGGGGTGTATTTACCACAAGGAAAACAAGGCATTTGCCTAGGGTGGCATTTTTCAGGGGGGGGGCAGCACTGCCCCCCAGAAGCAGGGATGGAAGAAGGGACACATGCAGCATGGGGACCAGGTGGGATTTGAGAGAGGTTGCGGGTTGTTGATGGTGTATGCCGAGCCCGACTCTTGTTCCTGGGGCTGTCCAGAGCTGTGAAGGTGAGGGTCTTCCTTGACGAGGGGGGGGGTTGTATTAGTCGAAGGCTCTCACAGGTGGCCAGGGGTGTTGTTGGTCAATGTCAGGTTCTCTCCATGGGGGAGGGGCACCCTATTTTTGTGTTGCCTAGGGCAGTACAAAACCTAAATACGCCACTGTGTATGAGGTTACCCACAAACATGCATCATTGATGGGTTTTTAGGATACCACAATACACACAGACCTATGCATCATACAGTGTGTTTGCCATATGGTGACAGTCCGATAGCTGTAAATAT